ATAAATTGTTAAATGTCTTTAGTGATCTCTTGCATAAATAAAAACGCTTATCACAGAATTTTTAAAATCTGTTATTCACACAATAGACTGGAATACCCTATCAGAGAGGTACTGTAAGCAGATCAGTTAGATCAACTTAACTTTAAAGTTAGGCATATTACTTATCTGAAGATAAGCTGTATTAACTCTGACAAACCTGTTATGGTCTGCCAGAAATACGTATTTTCTCTAATTTTATAAGCATAATATGCATGGCCTTCATTTCTCAGTGAAGTGTGGTGTTATGATTTATTCACAATATAAAGTCTGCAGACTCACAGACTATAAAATATTATAATAAACTATTTTTTCAGACCACCCTAGTTACTGCTGTTCTTTTTTAATCTTCAGGGACAGGATCCAACACTGACTGAAGTCAATTGAAAATTACTCAACAAGGCTTTGGATCAGGCCTAAAATAAACAGGACAGGGTTTTGGAACCTTACGGTGTAGTTTTAGCTATAGAGACAGAAGGGACTCAGCATGTAGCAGTGATGGTCACTAGATTCCTCTGTTGGTTCTGTGCAGACATAGCAGGGAAAATCTAAGCAAGGCAAATCCCAGGAGCTGCTAAAAAGCAGATAACATGATTTTGCAAAAAACCCAAACCAATCTCAGTGATCGGGATGCTGCTGGATTCTGGTAACTTACCTGCTGGTGTTACTAGGATGCATCTTTAAACACCCATTTTATGGCTTTCTGTGATAACCCACTTGCACTTGCTTCCAACTGAAGCCTGAATACCAAGCTATACTCCAAATTTACATAAGGTGTTCTTGTCACCAGTGCTGCTTCTTGTGCTTTGTCCTGATTTTGTGCTTGCTTAGACTATATTCTCATGTCACTCCAGCAATTTTGGTACATACAGGCATATAATGTGATCAGCTGTTATTACTTTTTATGGCTCCTACCTGACTTCATTGTAATGTAAGCAGTATCATTCCCTTATAAAAGAAGCTGTAATTCAGTTTTCTGAATAAACAAAAGGCTAAAACTTGCCACTAATACTAACTACTGTGAGTCATTGTGGGTTTAATTCAGATGTCACTTAAATAGAAATGACAACGGTGTAAAACTAATGTTTCACTTTGAAATCAGAACCTTGTACAAAGTATCAATCCCTAATAGTAACCATCCCCAAACTGGCCCCAAATTTTAAATAAATTATTTACCTTAAATATATTCTCACATCACAAGAATCTAGGTAATATTGTTCATTCTGCAGCTAGTCAACCAGTGCTTAGGAACACTGCATTCTTTGTGTCATGTTATTTATCATATAACTTATTTCTTATCGGTGTGATATATATGAGAGCTGAGACTGGCTCTCATTTACCAACAAAAGGTTGTTATATTTGTTGTTAAAGGTACACTTACTGTATTATTTGTCTTCTCTGATTACTCTTCAGAATATACATCAGATAATTTAAAGAAATTATACCTGACAATTTATGTTAGTCACATTTTGTTTAATATAGGCAAAAGATCATTTGTTTTATTTATTTATTTGCATTTTTACTACTCTGTTATAAAAGAATACCCATTCACTGCTCTGGGCACTACTGACAACCTTTAAAGGTACTCAAATAAAAAAAAGCAGACATTCCTATTACATCAAGATCAAATCAAATAATTCAACAACAGCATAAATATAATAAAATATAATTACTTCTGTACAAAAGGTTGACCCTGCTCTCATTGAAGTCACCTGCAGAAACTCCAGGTGATTTCAATAGAGCACAATCAAGTTATAAATCTACAATAGAGTCCCACTTAGATACTAGCTAGCCCTGTCTACTGCCCAACTGCTAGTACCAGCATCAAAACACAGTGCTTTGGTTAATCTAGCTCCTTCCCACTGGATTGATTTAGCTGGATGCCAGCTGAATAAGGCATTAAAAACTGTGTCATTCACTCATTTAATGTGTTAACTCTTGGATCTTAAAGGGAAGGCTTTGACATCCAAGAAAATTCTTCAGTGTCACTTGTGTACTGTAGGACTTGAGTTCAAGTTACGTATAATTTAGGTCCCTGGAAGACAATATATTTATGGTCTGCTTAATATATTAATTGTGCCATAAATGGCAATATGTCAAACATTCAGACAACTTTTGGTGCTATAAAGTAGCAAAGCAGCCACAGAGATGTTCTACATGTAATGTTAGAACATCTCTGAGGTTGGTTTGTATGGTACCTTAACCTGAATGTGTGAGATGCCCTCTGCCCATGCCAACACTCATATAATTGTCAGCATTGGAGAGGGGCAACACCAGCCCAGTCCCAGACTCAGGGCTGCCTCATCTGCTGCTATGTGGAGGGGCAGCCCAGCAGGGGATGAGTAGGGGGAACTAACTGGCTCCCCCCAGTCAGTAAGTTCAGAACTGTGTGCCTAGGAGCCCTGAATATAGGGCTGTGACACATGGCTCTCCATGTGCAAGGCAGGGGGAATTGACAGGCTCCTTGCATGCCCAGAAGGCCCACATGGGGATTTGCCAATGCACACAGCTTCAAACTTACCAAGCAAGGGCAGTCTGTCAAATTCCCTTGCCTGGCATATGCAGAGCTGCACGCCAGCAACCCCATGTTTTGGGGTGCATGGCTTTGAACCTGCCTAGTGGAGGGACCCCATTGCCCCTCCCCCAGCACTTTAAGAGCCCCATGCTGGGAAGCCACGTGTAGGACTGTACTTTGTATAGTTTTCAGCATACAGATCAAGCCTGGGATCATGATGGCACATGAGGTGGCAAGTTGAAAGGGTGTGATTGGGATATGATACATACCTGATATCCTATATATATATATATATATAGTATATATGTTTATATCCATGTTTCTTTTCCTTGTGATAAGTTAGTGTAAATAAAGCTGTATATAGTTAACTAACCTAACTGTCCTGGCCTGGTTCTATAGGGACGGAAGGAAACTGAGCAGTCTGCAGTTCCCCCACAGCACACCTGCCAGCTAACAATTCCCTTCAATTGCAGAAGGGGAGTATATACCCAAGTTACCTGGGCTACACTAACGATCTCATTTGACTTCAGATTTTTCTATTTCTTACTGCTGAGTATGTTGTCAGGGTTGGTATTCCAAGGTAGACTGAATACAGCACATCTTTGTGGGCTGCTTGTTAGTCTTGTTCTAGCTTCAGTGGAAATACCAGTCAGTTTTGTTCTAGTTTCAGTGGCCTTTTGTGGTTCTCTGATCTTTCAGTTGGATGCACTAATAAAGAAGAACCATGGACTATTTCTTAGGTTTCCACATTTCAAAGATTCTCTTCACTTACTTATAAAAGTAATTACTGTATGTAAACTGGCATACAAGACTCAGAAAAACAAGCCACTGGCTTGAATTTTCAAAGTGTTTTATGCACCTAAATACAAGTTAGGCACCTAAATAAACCTATAAGTGCACAGCAATATATAAGATATTTTTAAGGTGTGATTTAAGTATATGCAAAGCTGCTGTGTTCACTGGTATGTGCCTAATGTTTGACACCATGAGCATGACCAAGGGTTTGGTGCCTAAGAGGGGGTTTTCCAACTAGATTAGGAAATACCTTTAACTAAAATTAGGCACTGAAAAGTTAGTCCAGTGATTCTCAACCAGGGTGATAGGGCACCCTGGAGTTCTGTTAGATATACCAAAGGGTGTTAAGAGGTGTGAAGACCTAATGTAAGCAGGTAACCTAGGGTCAGGCTTGTCCATGCCTGGAAGATCTCCCACCCCATTTAACAAGGTAAGCACTATGATATATTAATTTGTTTTTGACACTGGATGCCATCCAAATCACAAAAGTTACGGAAAGGTGCCCCGAGTTTAAAAAGTTTAAGAACCGCTGAATTAATCAGCCTAATGCACATCTAAGTTATCAGTAGAAATGGCTGAGAATTTTCCAATTAAATGTTTTCTTATCATGCAATGTCAGTTAATAGAAAGTAAAACTATTTCCAATAATAGGTTAGCTTGAACAAATCTGACAATTAGAAATTGTTTAAGTCTTGAAATTGTCAAAATACACTATTTAATCATTTTCACACTGAAAAAATGTTTTTGATTTGAAACATGTTGCTTTCAAAATTATTTTTAGTAGGAAATGGTTAAACACAAAAAATTAATTTGAAACAAAGGATTTAACATTTCTTAAAACAAAATATTTTAATTGATATGAGTACAGATTTATTAAAAAAATTGAAATGATGACTGCTGTCCCATTTCAGGATAGGAAAATATTTTGGAATCTTGAAAACTCTTGCAATATGGAAGATCTGTTTCCTGCTCAGCTCTAACTTCCAGGCTCTCTCCAAGTTTCTCCTTGGTACATAGTCAGAGCTGGAAGTGTTTGGGTAGGGAACCTATTTACTAATAGAGTGAAAGAGTAATCACTGAAAAATGTATTATGTGTGCAAAACAAATTTTACAGTATTTAACACTTTAACTTCAGTCTCCTCAATACATCAAGTGGCTGCTTGCAGATGTTAAAACAAACAAACAAACCAAAACAGTGCTTTACTTTAAACTCAGCATATTCTCACACCAAGCCCAGAACATACCCAGAAGGGGTATTGAGTTTGTTGGTCCTGGCTTCCCCAACAATTGTATAGATTAGGTGTTTTAGTGGGGCTTTTTTGGCACTTTTATCTAATAGCTGATTGAATCAGCTATTAGATTAATGCACCAAAAAGCCCCACTGATGCACTCGATCTATACAAATGTTGCAGAGCCAGGTCAAACTAACACGCTGCTTCTTCCAGTAATGCACAGTTTGGGGGGTTTTTTAATGTCTGTAAGCAGTCAGTTATACAAGCTTAGATTCCCTTAAGCCTCAGTAGGCTGTTCCCAAGTAGGAAAAAGGAACTTCAGCTATAGGTAATGGACTGTAGGTCCAGGACATTCTAATTTCTATCACCTTACACATCATTTTTTTAATCTAGCCTTCTGACTTTTTTGGATTTTTCTCCAGGTTGATACTGCTGTAAAGATGACAACATGACAATATTGACATGAGGCACCTATCAAACAGGATCTGCATTATGTGTACACGTTTTTTGTAAAATTGTGTTCTGGTAAGGTACTGCATTGGAACCATACTTTTATCCTTAAGACTGCCAAAATGATGCACAACACAGTGAGAGAGGAACTTTTTACAAATGGTATTTGAACCACTTTTCTTTTAAATGCTGCTAAGTGTAAAATTAGTGTTGTCCCTTAAAGTGCACAAGATTAATTGTCAGTAATTGAACACAGTTTGGGGGCTAATTATAGAAAAATTGATATTAAAAGAATACTACTGGATTGATTGAGTTTTGCAGTTCATATTTAGTTTTCAAATTACTTGAGTTGAAAGGCTGCAATAAGAAACAATAAAAATCCATTCAAAGCTGCTAAAGCAAATTAAGGTTTACTAGTCCTTTGAAAGACAAACGATCCAAGTGCTATAATGTAGGGAGGGCAGTAAAAATGCGCCTGACATTTACTATAGGTTTAAAATATCAAGTGTTTTAGGATGCCATATGTTGAACACATTTAATTTTCCACCCCAATTTTTGTTTAGTCAAATTCCTTCCTTCCGTCCCCCCGCCCTTAAAAAGAGAAAGGAAATTCAGAGCAAAGGTCTTCTTTAGATATATTTAAGCTTTTGTAATATGCACATCTATAGTCTACTGTAAAAGAACCATTGGACACTAAATGTGATTGAGAGTACAGTCTATTTTAATCTGGAATTATGTCATGTGGAAATAAAACTCAGCCTCTTGTCACCAATCCTGCACATCTTGCTTTCATTACAGTGTTAGAAGAAAAGAGAATCTTTGACAAAATGGAAGAAATGAAGCCACCAGAATTTCTCATTGTGGTATGGAAACTAGCAGAAACTTCAATAGATGCAGATCCCTAAATTCTCCCAGAAGAACTACTGAAGAGAAATCAAGGTGTCGAGGCAGAAAGGAGGAAGAAATTCTCCATATAACAGGCCCAGAGATTTTGATTAGCTACAGTACCTTCCCAGTGGATAAGATTTCAAATTGTTAAATAATCTTTTAAGTGTTTCAAGAACAGTTAAAGTGATGTCGTTGTTTAATTAACACAAAAATGATTTTAGTGAAATCATATTTTATTTACCAGATAACAGCATGGTAAAACCTAGTCTTTTGTATTTGATTAGTTAACAAATGGACACAAGAATTAACCTGCTCAACGCTTTCTGAATAAAATATTTCCATCAAATTAACTTTGTTTATTTTTTGTAAAAAATGGATGCCTTTTTCACAATTTTGTTGTTTCCCCCTAAATTTTTCATTAGTTTTTTTTAATCAAGTGGTGTATAGAAAATTTTATAAAAATGGTTAGTAAAAATTTTCATTTACTGAAAACAGTAGAAAATTTGAAAAATTGAAAGAAGGGTGTTACGAACTTAGAGGAAATTGAAAATAAATATTATGTTTCAACTTTTTAAATGAAACTGTGTATTTTTTCACTCAATCCACTCTGTTGATTAGAGACTGAATGACATGATGTAGGTAATTGCCAAGTCCAAACAAGTTTATTTTATCAAATCGATTTGATGTTGGGGAAAAAAGAACATTTCCAAGGATGATAAAAATGATTCCTAAAGGAAAGGTGTAACAAAGAACCCCTTCCTCTGTTACTGGGCAATGCCCAGGTGGACTGAACCAAGGCCTAAAATGGCCAGGCAGCCAATGAGGCAATTAGCTATACCTGGTCCCTAGGTGCAGAAGATCTAGTCATGTGGTGGGAAGGAGGCAGGACTTGGGGATATAAACACAGTTTCTGACCATGCATGCAGTTGGGACAGGAGCTCTCAGGAGAGAAGTGCTGCAGGCTGGCAGGCAACCAACCAACCCAGGGAAGCTGGGGTGAGATGGCTCTGAGGGATCTGATGGCCTGTGGGCAACATTTACACTGAGTGAGGGATACTATTTTTGTGAAGCAACTAGCTAATATTTATGTTCCATTTTGAACATGAGACTGGGGACCAGGTAGTGGTCATAGGTGCCAGAAGCTAGTCCCAAGTTGGAGGGGCCGAGACTGGTGGACTGAGACTGGATCTCCATGTAGAGCTGCTGCTAAGGCAGGAACAATACCCAGAAGCTGAGGTCTTAGGCAGTGTACCAAAGCTGAGAGTATGGCCAGAGGAAAACAGGGCCAAGGGTGCAACAGCTGAAACCCCAACAAATGCTCAGAAGCCTTAAAAGGGAAGCACTAGAGCACTCAAGGAAGAGCACAGGCCCCAAGTGAGGGATTGACCTGGCCTGGAAGGCAAGGCAACCAGCAAGTTTACCCCCAACCTCAGGGGCCATCTCCCCTAACAACAAGCAAGATAACATCAAAGTCATGGCAGGCAAGAGATTGGAGGCAAGGTGGAGCTGGGAAGGAGCCAGCAGATAGGTTGGACCACAGAGGGAGTCTAGGTGCTGGGGTGACAGGCCCTCCCCCCACTCATCTGAAAGATACTGCACAAGGCTCTTTTAGTATAGAATAAACTTAAATATCTACTTAAATATGTGTACAGTTCAGTACAGATAAATTTAAAACACAATCATCAGAAACCTTTTGTTTAATAACCATGAAGGGAATCACAACATGACTGAAAGGTATGGAGCACAAAAAGTCTGCAAGATTCTGGCAAATATACAAACACTCATAATACAGGAGCTAGCTTACAAAATAATGAGATCATGAGATAATAGATTTAAAGAACAAACACATTTTTTAATTTTTTATTTCTAGTGTTTGAGTCTTTAAAGTTCATTATTTCAAGCTTTTATCCACAACTAGGTGGGAAATTTACTTTTTTTTTAAATGAAAAGCTATGATTCTCAAGTAATAAAAGGACTTCAACAGAAGGCACTTTAAAAAAAATGCCAACTACCATAATAGCCAGAGTAGCAAGCAAGGATGTCAACTGGAGTTAGGAGCAAGGAACCAGTGGTTAGGAAGCAGGAACAAGGACCGTGACATGGGTTGAGTGAAGCCAGGAGCTAGAGAGCCTGTTGAATAGCCTGAGAAATACTGAAAGGTCAGCTGCTTATATCCAGGCAACCACATCCATAGGGACAGCTAGGGTTAGTTATGCCACTGGCAGCCAAGCCCACTCTGGTAATCAGGGCCAGCTGGGGGCTAAAGCCCTAACTCCTGCCAATTAACAATGTTGGCTATGGTATCATGTTTGCAATGAAAGTAACCATTTTATATTGCTTTCAGCAAACCTTGCACAGACATAAAAACATTAATGAACATGCAAGGAGAGGGCAACGTTCAGATAGGCATGCGTAAGCTGAGTTGTTACTTTGCTTCTAAATAAACATACAAATGAAGACCCAAGAAAAATACAGTTGATGATACTCAAAATAAATGAAGGAAAGGCAAGTTAACAATATGCACTGGAGATGAGTGCAATGAAATGATACTGAACATATGAAGATACGAACATATAAGTTACTACCTAATATTAAAATAGAAAACTAAGTTTGTTTCCTATGTTGGCACAAGCAAAGCCTGACAGACCTGTCTAAAGTCAAGATACCACTTGACAAAGTGTAATATAAGGGAACAGGAAATCCCATGTGTGATGGGATTTAAGAGCAGTCTGCAAATGCAGATGGTCAAGCAACATTGTCTACTGAAACAAAAACATGAGATAATGTTAATAATTCAATGAGTTTTTTCATTGATTAGCATCCATAAAAGCAATGATAAAACCCAGTGTACAGTCAAATCAAAGCACTACCCCAGAAGAATACTTCAGACAGTCACATCTAGACTTCAGAATACAAGAGAATTTTCAGGTTTTGATGAAAGCTTCTGGATCTCCCCACCCTCAACTTTTTGGCTGATACGTGGGGAAGTGAGCATGTTTCAGGAGTCTATCATCACCTGAGTTTGAAGAATCCATCGTGTCTCTGATCTGTGAAGATCTGAATAAAGCAGAAGGAAGAAATTGCTATTGATCTGTTTTGAGGTGAAAATGATCTACTCCCCAATTAGAAGCAGTTTAATGTTCTATTAAGAAAATGAAAAAAGAACATTAAATTGAACAGAAATGAATTCCAGATCAGAATGAATGAGTTTAGTTATACGGGACATACTCAGTGACAAAGGAGTTTGGCGTGATCCAATAAAGGTGGATTATATTGTAAAAATGAAGTCCTCCCAAACAAAAAGTACTTTCAAAGATTCATAGACATGATAATATGGAAAGCAGGAGAAGTTATCACAGGAGCACTGTACTAAATAATTTTGGGATTAACCAAAATCTCACATGGGCTATTTTGTGATGATCATCCTGCAGGTTGTTTGCTGCAGGATGATCATCTAGTGACACGTGTTTGCAAAATGCTGACCACACAACAACAGAACTATGGAAAGATTGGAAAAGAAACAATAGCAATTTTTTTTTTTTTTACCTGAGAGCAGTTTCTTGTCAAATCATTGTTTAAGAAATTATACTTGTTAAAAGTCATTTTCATGAATGAAGAATTGCTTTTCATGAACCCATGCTCATTGGTAACACTCAAATTATTTTTTTTTTCTGGAAGATGATGCAATATCTGGCTTTCCTTAAAATTACTTGAATTGCCCCTCCAAAATTACCCCACCATGTACTAGTGCAAAGTCATTACAACATTAGCCAGTATTTACTGTATTTTGATGTTCCATCAAAACAACAATTCCAGGGCCTTGTAGCCTTAAATGAGACACATCAAAGGTCAGTCTCAAATCAGGATTTTCCCATATGGTTGCACTCTTAGCGAGGTCTCTCCCCATTCTCTCTCTGATCTTTCATGATTTAATTAGAACCATCTTTAAAAAGGCTTATTTTACTATAGTAGTATCACATCTGCATTTTCAGCAGTATGCTGTTTAATCACATTGGGTTATAAAGTGAAACTCTCAGTACTTATTATAATATCTAGTGGAACCCATGCATTTGGTCTTTTAGTGTCCCTGACTCATCATCTTATATTCTTTCATCAACATTTTAACAGCCACTCTTAAAAATGTAATTTGATGGATAATTCTCTAAACCTGTTTAGTTTAGTTTATTTTTATTAAAAAAAAAAAATAAAGAAGAAAAAGTTGACCGCATATGCCTTCCATTTGCTTATTATTGCACCTGAAACTTATTCTGTACATTCAAGCTATGTAACTTCTAATAGCTTTAAAAGAGGTGAAAGAGCTGCCTTTAGGAGGTCATGTCATCTCTTGCAATGTAACTGCTATATCTTCATGCTGCTCTAGTGATACAAATTAGCTAAATCCTGAATAAGACCAACTGAAGTTACAATGATTTTGCTACAATTCCATTACTACAGGGGCAGATGTAAGCATTGCATTACTATCAAAGGTGTCAAACATACGGCCCATGGGCCGAACCCAACAGCAGAGCCACTCTATCTGGCCACCAAGCTCCCAGTGGGCTGCTGGAAATTGAGGGGCAGGGGCTGCCACAGAATTTGGCCCCTCAGGCCCTGATAGACATGCATTTAATGGTAAGAGGGCAAGTGAGGACCAATTCAGCCCAGTTGCCTGCAGCCTCTTAGTCCATGGCCACCATCAGTGCTCACATGCTTGCCCTACCTTCTCCACCACTGGCCCTGCAGTCTGTATCTGGCCCACAATGTGAGGTAACACCCCTGGGTTATATTACTATCATTTGATATCGGTGCAATTGTTATGAGGAACTGATTCAATCTTTCTTTTTTTTTAATATTCTCAGATATTTTAATATTCTCAGAACTTTCATTTTTACCTTTAATAAAAATGAGTTTTCGTCTGTACTTTCTATACACAGCATGGCATCTCTATATCTAGCCAGCCCAGAAAAGTAGAAATCAAGTTATTACAGAGTCCTCTAAGGGACTGCTTGATCAGGTTCTCCAGTTTTTGTCTGCTCCCTCTGAATACCCTCTGAAGCCAGCCCAAATTAGATGAGAGAAACTGTCTTCTTCTGAATACGAGACCTTAACCTTTGGGTCCCTAGCCCTTCCTGGCTCTGCCTTAGAAAGCTACCTTCCACTTGAGCTCCAGAAGGAGGGAGAAGAAGGAATTTGGGTGTTCGCAAGCAGCAAAACAGGCAGTTCCTCTTCAGTACATTTACCAAGGCAAAGATTACTTTGCCAGAGGTTCTCTGCCCCGTCCATATGGTGAAACAACAAGGCTACTTAAATCCTCGTGGACAAATGTGTCTTCTGTCACATAGGTCAGACAACAATGGGATCTCTTGTTTTTAACTACTTCTTTACCCCCTGTACAAGTCAGTCAGGGAAACTGAAGCACATAACATTATTACAACATGAACACATTTAAACCAGAAATTCTAATAGTATAAAAGCCTAAGTCTGGCTGTCTGCCTGTCCATAACGCTTTATTCGTACTCTTACCGGCTGATGG